CTGCCGCGTGCCGCGTGCCGCGGGTGGGGAGCGCGTGGTACGTGCGGCAACACCACGTCGCGATGTTGGCGCGCCTGCGGGAAATCTCCACGCAGCCCCCTGGTGCGCCGCCTACTTCGGGCGAAAAATGAAAAGTGGAAAGTCGAGAGTTGAGCGCCGGTATCGGTAATGGAAAGCTCTGACTACTTATACGCACACACCAGCACCGCGACGTGCGTCACGTGTGTGTGCGTGTGGGTGGGTGTATTCACGCATTGCGCCGCCCGAACTAATCTCCCTCAATTAGCGCGGCCCTGTTTTTTTGGTGTTGTTGTTTTTTGTTTCGACGAAGCTGCCCGATGAAGCTGTCGGCCGGCGTGCCGGCATAATGAAGCAAAGCCGAAGGCTGGCACGCTGGCCGGGCCGCCATGTCGGGCCGCCATGCCGGGCCGCTATGCCGGGGCGGCAAAGACGCGAGCGCGGCGCGGAGGAGGCGGCGACGCGGTCAGCCTCATTACTGGCGACTTAATTAAACGCCCGCAATCCGCGACGGGGAAGGGGGAGGGGGGTCGACACCCCCACCCGTCCGCCGGGCTGCCCTTTTGGCAGACGCCACGCCGCCAAACGCTTTTATTGCGGTCGCGCGTGTACAGTGTAGAGCACGCGTGTACAGCACGCAAGCAACACGGTCGTCCAATGGGCGGCCGCTCTGGGGTGTGCGAGAGAGAAAGAGGCAGACGGAGAGGGCGAGTGAGTGCGTGCGAGCAAGGGAGAGAGATGGAGAGAGAAGGGGATGGGGGTGTTGTTGGATTAAGGGGTCGGAGTTTTGTGTTTGACAGGAAATAAATAATCACGTGATAGGGACTGCGGTAGTGGTGGTGGGAGTGTGTGTGTGTGTGTGTGTGTGCGCGCGCGCGCGACTTGTGTGAACCGAGCGTTGCAGGAGTTATATGGCGTTATTTATTCTTCGCAAGTTACCATAAACAAGTTCCCATGAAAAACAACCGCGCGAGGAGATGAAAGGAAGGAGAACATGGTAAAGTCGGATTACGTGTGTACAGTGGTGTACAATGTGCAGCTCCGTCGGGGGAAGGGACAAGCCCGGCACGTCGCTGTACCGTCGCGAATGATAGACAAACAACGACTTGGGCTTGCTAATTGGCCTCGTGACATGGGGCGCTCCAGGGGTGCGAGAGAGACAGAGTGTCGAAGCCGCACTGTGTGGAATCGGCCTGCTGAGGGAGGGCGAACTCGCACGGCAGCAGACAGGGAGCCCAAGTCGGCCCGGCAAAGCCACAGCATGCTGATCGCAGACGCACGCGTTGTGCCGGGTCGCGGCTCCAGCGTCTGGGCCCGGCCGAGGCCGTGGAGGCCGTGAAGGCCGTGTTGGCCCGGGGCGGTGCTCGTTACGACGCCAGATCGGTGGAGGCCGCCGGGCCGAGGCAGACGCGCTGAAAGCCGCGCGGCGCGGCACGGCACGGCCTCGGCCCGGCGGCCCAGGTGCGGCTGCCGAGGCCCTCGCGGAGGCCGGGGCCGGGCCGGAGACAGGCAGGTTAAGAGAGGAAAGGAACTGCTCCCCAACCGCGCCCCGCTTTCCATTAAACTTAATGAACTTTCTGCAGCGGGGCGCTTTGGCCCTTTGGGGCCTTGTCCTTTGGAGACCCTTAAGAGCGACAGGGCGGCCCCGCGGCCCCGCGGCCCGGGAGTACAAAGACCTGCCAGCGATACCGCGGCGCGCAACGCCCCGGATTTATCGCGCAGTGCGACAGCACCGCGCCGTCCGTCATGACGTCATGTCGACGGCGAGGTGCCAATCAGAGCGCGGACACCCGCAGCCATCCATCGGCCGCGACCGCCAAAAACGCGCTGGCCGCGCCCGGACTCGAACCCGCGCCAACGCGGCGCACGGGGCCGCTCACACGCGACACTTGACACGGATTGGCGCAAGGCGGCGAAAGGGCGAAAGGGCCCGCCAAGGACCGCACACAGCTTTGAAACGGGTTCAGCCCCCCGCTGCGCCGCGCACCGCCACGCACCGCCACGCCCTCCACACCACGGCCCTGGCCTTGGCTTACCGTTGCATGCCCGACGGCCCAACCCAGTCCAGGTTCGCGGTGACGGCCGGGCGACCAGGCGGCCGCCCTGTCGACGGCCAGGTAAGCAAGATAAACGACGGCTTGAGGGGCGGCCGGGCGGCGGAGGCATTGTATCCCTTTAACGCGGAGGAGCGGCCCTCCACCCTTTAGTCCCTTTAGGCACGAATGCCGCCGGCTCTCAGTTCGAATAGGGGACCAACCTGGCGCGCACACACTGGCAAGCCCGTCTACCTCTCCCTCTTTCTCCAGGGGCACCAGCTCACTCACTCCCGCAGTGCACGTAGGGACTCCGGGACCGCCTGGGCCGGGTTGGACTCGGTTCGGCTCGGTTCAGGGTGCGGGCTGCGGTCTTTTGCTGCTTCCGGAGGAATTGCGGAACGTGCCCACTATGCGGCGCCCGGGGGCAAATTATTTTACCTCAAGTGGCGGTGCGGGGAGAGGGGGAGGGAGGGTCGTGTCGCTGTCCTGCTTCCGTCGTCCTAAATGTAGTGCGGCCTTCTGGCGAGGAGTTGGGCGGGGTGGGGCTGCGCTGCTCCTCCTCCTCTTCCTTCTCAGCGCCTCTCGCTCACACAGTCTGCGGTCGAGACGGAGTGAGCGAGAGAGGCATTTCCAAAGGAAAGGGGATAATCGGGCCGTTGCTCCGAGCCGCTCCAAGCGAACAGAACCGGGGGGCCGGAGATTGAGACAAGTTCGTCTGCTCCTCCATGCACGCCGCCGTCGCCGCCGTCGGTCCGTGTGTCTGTCTGTCTGCCCGTCCGCCCGTCAGCACTGGAGGGAAAGGCCGCCAGACTTGATTACCGCCGCCCGATTGGTCTCGAAAGGTTGACAAGCTTTGCGTCGCTTCGCGTGTCCCTGGCAAAGCGCCCCCCCCCCCCCCCCCCCCCCCCCGTGAGCCACCGCCGCGGCATCGCTCATTGCCGAATCGCAATCGACCTTCCCCCCGCAGGCGATGACGATATCGAGGCGCACGGATACCATCGCGAAGCCGATGTGACCCGCACCATTCCGCCCGGCACCAGCGCCTAAAAGTGAGAAGAAAAAATACCGAAAAAAAGATGAAAGTGTCGTAAAAATACACACGCGCGTCGTTCGATGAAAACCGTGCGAAAGCCAATAGAAAGGCAGTGCGGGGCGGGGCCAGGCGGGACGGCGCTGGCAACATGGCGGCAGCGTGAGGCGTCCCGACGTCCCTGGCGTGACAGCCCATTGGCGGGCTGGAGGTCGCCGACGATAAAATTGAATAAAGAGGGCGCGAGAACACGCGCAAAAAAATGGACCAATAAAGTTAGCATAAAAAATGACTGTCTGCACGGAAATTCCTGCGGCCGACTTCGGCCACGCCAGCAGAGCAGCAGTCCGACGACGGAAGGGAGGGAAGGCCTCCTCTTCTCCCGTGGCGACACTATCCCGGGGGCTTTTTACAACAGCCCGAGAGATAAATCCGATGAAACGCGCTGACGTTTACAGCGCGCTTTTTGCCGCCACATCGTTCACATCTTCCAACGCACGCCTCGCGCCGCCTCGCGCCTCGGCCGGCCTCGGCCTCCAGATGGCGCTGCCGACGGCACCGGCGGCCTGTTTGGCTGTGGCGTTTGGCGAGCCTGCGGCGTTCAGCGCGCCAAAGTGCAGTCTGCGTCTCTCTCGCACTCATGTGGCGCTCCCCACGGGTGTGTGTGTGAGAGAGAAACGGAGCGACGCAAGCGCAGTTCGGGATGAGGCTGCTTTGGCGCTGCACTTATTCGCCTTGCCAGCGAAACGGGGTCGCCCCTCGGGTCACCCACAGTGCGCTCTGTCCCTCTCGCACCCCTGCGGGACTTGCCGGACGCCCCGCGAGTGCGAGAGAGACGGCGCGCAGTTCGAGCTGCAGCGCGCCGCTCACTTGGCCGCCGCCATCTGCTTCTGGTTTTTCCGCGCCGTGCCTCGCTCCTCGCGCACACCCTCCTTCTTGTCGACGCGGAACGTGTCGCGGCGTCGCGGCGGCGCTTTCATGAACCAGAGCAGCGCCTCGCCTCGCCGGTCGGCAGCGCGGCAGCGCCGAGGGAGTGAGAAAAAAATCAAGCAATATCCTTTGACACGCGTTTCGCGGCGCGACCAACTACCGCTCGCGGTGCGGCGCGGTGCGAGGCGCCCCTCCCCTCCCCCCTCCTCCTTTCCCCTTTCACACGCACAACTTGGGCACATCGCCGAGTTCCGTCCCGCCGGTGCGTGATGGCGGCGGCGAGTCGAGATAGACGCGCGACCGCGGATAGAAGCCGAGCAGGCAGGCGGATAGAGGGAGAGAGAGAGAACCTCACAATCGCAGCGCAGCGGGCTCATTCCGAACTGTTGCCACATCGCTCTGTCTCTCTCGCACCCCTGCGGAACGCCCCACGAGTGCGAGAGAGGCGGAGCGTGGTTCGAGTCGCAGAGCCATAGCTCGAACCTCATAACGGCAGCGAGATTGGCCTCCGAGGATCCTGCACCGCCGCGTCGCCGCCTCGCGAGGATCACATAACTCACGCCGGGAGTCATTACACGCACCTGGAGGCGGGCCGGGGCGGGCTGGCCGCGGCTGGCGGCGGCGGGGCGGCCGCGCGGATACGAGCACTTATAGATTCGCCGCCCCCTCTGAGTACGCCCCAACCCGACACCCCGGGCCGGGCCCGGTGAACGCGCTGGCGGCGCTGGAAAAGGGCTCCAGTTACAGTGCAGGCCACGCTGGAGCGGCTGGAGCGGATGGAGCGGCGGCCTTGTTGTCGGGGCGGCAGAACCGTCCACGCCCGGACCACACAACTGCGAGAATTTGTTATCGCTTCACGACAAAATCACGGATGACATTTTGCTATATGTACGCAGCAGCACAGCAGCGTGCGGCGCTCGAGGCGGCGCTACACAGCCGCCACTGCAAAATTTAAAATTTACAGTATATTTTTGGAAGTGACTTACCGGCCGCCGACGCGAGGAGGGCATGGAGGGCGAGGCTGAGGAGCAGGCCCGCCGCCGTGACGCGCAGCGAGCGCAGCCAGGGCTGCTGCGGCCGCGACCAGGTCATCCTACGCCTCCCGACCCTGCGAGGAGAAGAAGAAGAAGAAGATGAGCCACAGGGTGCGAGAAAGGCGCGTGCAATCCGCCGTCCGGCGCAGCGTCGCGAGGACGCCGTCGTGGATGTCGCTGGGGGTGGCGGTGACAGCGCGTATAAATTGCAGTCAGGTTTCCGGGAAAACAAGACGGAAAAGAAGTGATAAGCTGGGCGCCGGGCGATAGGGGTGTGGGGTGGGGGGCTTCGTCGCCCCACTCAAGGAGGTGCTAAACACACAGCTAAAGTAGGCTCTCGCTGTGTATGTACAGCCTGGAACACCTGAGCCCTGCGCGCCCTGCGCTGTGGCCATGGCCGCCTCCACGGCGTGCTGCGGTGCGGTTTGGTTTGGTTTGGCTTTCCTGACGACGCGAGTCAAAGTGCGACCGACCCTCAGGTCCCTCTGCTTCGGCCTTCGGCGGCCCGAACGAGGTGAGGGCGTGGAGGACGACGGTGAGGACTCAACTCCCCGCTCTGCGGTCTGACCCGCCCCGCCCCGCCTCGCCTTGCCCCGCCTCCGCCCAACGCAAAACCTTCAAAGCGGGCCAACTTTCGTCACCTGTTTCTGAAGCAGCACCACACCGCGCCAGGCCAGGACTCACGTAGGGGAACAAATGTGCAGAAATCGTGGTTTCAGCTGATTTTAAGCAGCTACTGCGTCCTATCTAAGGCGGGAAATCGTGCTCCCTCAACGGGTCGGTGGTCTTTGGACGTCCCTTTAGCGTGTCTTTGTGACCGAGTGCGATTTCTAGCCTTAGATTAGAAACAGTATTGCCGCAAAGTTGGTGAGACGGTGTCAACTGTGTAGAAATCGTGGTTTAGGCTGACTTTTAGCAGCCATACGTTATACTTAAATAGTGCTGGGCTGTCCTGTGTAACGCGGACGTGCAGGTATCGAGCCGAGGCCGTGCAGGCCGTCCGAGCGACGGTCGGGTCGGGACGTGCACCTACCCGCCGCCACCGCCATGCCATAGGCCGCGCCGCCCCCTCCCCGTCACCCCTCCCCCCCCCCCCAGTGTCTGGAATGCCGGGAATGGCGATAAATAAACGCTGGAGGCACAAAACTAAAGGGTCGCCGCACCACCACGCCACCCTCGGGGCCTCCACGGCCTGCACGGCCTGCACGGCCTCCACGGCCTCCACGGCCTCCACGCGGCCCCAACGGCCTCCACGCGGCCCCAACGGCCTCCACGCGGCCCCCACGGCCTCCACGCGGCCCCCACGGCCCCACGGCCTCCACGCGGCCCCCACGGCCTCCACGGCCTCCGAGCAGCTGGCTCGCGGACAGTCAAGGCAACGAAAACAGACAAAATGACAGGAGGACGGAAAAACAAGAAAAAAAGAACGACCGAAGTGAAACGACACTCGTGTTTTGAATATCCCCGCACCTTTTTTCCAGTGTACGTGTCCGACAGCGGAATCGCAAAAGCCCACTCACTCAATTTTTTTTTTTCTCTCGTTTCTGCGGCTCGAATCACTTTCCGGGGTCCGAACACGACGCGCTGACACACGCGCGTGTCGTGCTGCCCGCGGGGCGCTGCGGGGGGCGCGAGGGAGAGGGACAGAGAGAGACGCGGGCGTGACTGCGTGCGCGCGAGACAGAGAGGGGAATCGGACCGGACCGGGCCTCCGGACGGAAATAGGTCGCGAGACAATAAAAATGAAAAGTAATAATGGCGGCGAAACCAGTCCGGCCTTGTTTTTTTCGGGGGAGGGAAGGGGGTTGAAAAACCAGCGTTATCAGCTTACCGCGTGCGTTCGGGGCGTGCCTAAAGGGCCTAAAGGGCCTAAAGGGGCTGGAGGCGACGCTGCTTTGAAGCGAGTATTTCTGTTAGGCGTCAGCATAAGCCACTCGCCATCCATCATACGGACGAAAATCTGAGCGTGCCCCCTCCCCCTGTCGCCTCCGCCCCCCGCCCCTCCCGGGGGGCTGGGGGCAGCCTCATTCATCAACTAGCATGTGAAGCATCTTCATAACAGCCACCGCCGAGTACGCACGCGGCGCGGGGCGGCGCGGGGCGGCGCGGGGCACAGGGAGCACGGGATGCCGAGGGGGCGGCCCACTGGAATGCCGAACGAATGGAAAGCGGGCTGCGGACTGGTTCCGAAGCTCGCTCCGTCTCTCTCGCACCCCTACGGGGTGACTCGTGAGAGCGAGAGAGACGGAGCGACGAAACATGGTGCGCGGAACCGCTCCGCTGCTCACGTCGCTGTAAATCACCGGCGGCCTCCTTAAAAGAGCATCAGCCGCTTGCATCCCCGCGTGGGCGGCCGTGGCGCCCTCAGACTCTGCCTGCCGGCCTGCCTGCCAGACTCTTCCGCACGCGGCGGCTCCGTAAAGACTTGACAAACTCTGCCGAATCTTGTTTGCAGAACGGATTAGTCCGGCCTAATTTCTTCGAGGCCACCCGCGCGGGCGCGCAGATAATTTGAGAAACTTGCTCAATGACCCTCCGCGGCGCCGCCCCGCCCCGCCCCGCCTCGCCCCGCCCCGAGCGTCGTGCCTCACAATGACGACTAAGTGACTTACTTCGGGACGGCTCGGCTCGGCTCGGCCGCGGCGAGACGCGACGCCGCGGTGCGCGCGGTGCGGGTCTCCAGTTGACCCGGCAACAAGTTGAACAAAGCGTCAAACGGAAAGCCTCAGAGACTCGGCGGGGCGGAGCGGCGGAGCGCGGGTCGACCCTCAGGGTGGAAGCCGGATCCCTCACCCGCCAGAAGGCGGAAGAGACGTTTCGACGCTCTGTCTCTCTCGCACCCCTACAGAACGCCCCACGAGCGCGGAAGAGACAGAGTGACGAAACGTCGCTCTCTCTCTCTCTAATTGTTTGCTATTTTTGAAAATAGGACGGGGGAAATATCTGAGCAATCTGCGAAAACGTAAACGATGCCATAGCTGACATTGTCCTCTCTCCCTCTGCCTCTTACTTCCTCACGACAGGCATTCCTGATACTGTGGCATCCGTTAAGCCGAGAGGAATCCTCCCCTTACAGGACAGGGCGGCCGTTAGCCGGCATATGGCATAGCTTTCGCTGCGATAACCCTTGAAACAGCCCAGATCTCTCTCTCTCTCTCTACCTCTCTCTGATCCGCTCACACACAGACACAGGCACAGTCCGCCATCCGTCCTAGGGTCCCTTCCCTAGCCGCCCCAAGTCAAGCAAACGCCCCGAAACAAACGTCCAGGGCCGTGGCGCCGAGGCTGTGGCGCTGTGGCCGTTTGCCCATGAACGGGCCATTAATTCGCAGGCCGTGCATCTGTCGATGGCGTCGTGGGCCTGGCCGGGCCTGGGTCGTGGGCACCGTGGCCCTAATTGCCGTCGCAGCCATCGCCCCGTCTCTCTCGCACCCCCACGGGACTCCGGGAACGTCCGCGAGTGCGAGAGAGACGTAGCGACGAAGGCGCGCACTGCTTGGAATCAGCCAGCTGCTGCTCCTCCCCATAAGGCAGTCCCGCCGCCTGCCTGCCACGGCCTGAGGCACGGCCTGCACAACTAACTCGGCTGTCTCTCTCGTACTCACGGATAGCGTCGCATGCGGGTGCGAGAGAGACAGGGCGACGAAAACGACTCTCGGAATCAGTCCGTCGGCGCAGCCTCGCTCCATGGACGACGACGGCGACGCGCGGAGGGACTCGGAGGGACTCCCCGAATTCGGCTTCTCATTAGCGCAGTAATCCTCGGGCAGCCGGATAATGAGGCTTGAGCATACGCGGCGCTCGAAAAGCTGGGCCTACACTCGAATTTCAACCTTTTTTTGCGATCCTACGTCTCTAACCTTTTCCCAATGCGGTGTTCGAATGCCAGCATCTCAATTTCTTTCGACTGGCTGCCTTTTTGGGAACGGTTTGAGCGGAGCCATGTGCAAAAGTGCGTCTGGCATATTTCTACTAACTTAGTCGGTCAAAAATGCCAATGTTTTCATCGATTTATTTAAATTTAATATTTTCTTTTAGGTCCGTCAAAACTAGGTAAGTCTATTTTTGTCGGTCTAATTTAGGTCTGTCATGATATAGACCCTTTAAAACCTGCTTTTCATTCGGAGGCTTACAGCTGTCCTTTTTGTTGCCAGTCCCCGAGCGCGGCGGATGTGTACCGGAAAAACGCTCCTTCTGTAAGCGGAAACAGAGACACCCCCACCTCCCAAGTCCGCAGTCGCGCGCCGACCTTGTCTGTCTCTCTCTCGCTGGCGCATTTTTTTCTCCTCCGACTCCCTCGCTCTCTGCAGCCTCTGCACTCTCGGCCGGGAAACTGGGAAGCGCAAAAAGTTGGTGAGGCGTCATTTGTCACGCGTTGGCGCACATAATCCAGCCAACGGGATTACGCAAGGAGGCCCTGCGCCCGCCGCACCCCGCCCCACCCCACCTTGCCCCACCGCACCCCGCCCCGCCCGGGAACAAGACGGGGTATATTCGTGTTTCCCGGTTTAATTCCATTTAAAGGCGCGCGATGACGGTGCGGTGGCTCGCCGCTATAGCGCCGCTAGCGCCTGCGAGGTCCAGGGTAGGCCGGCCCGCCGCGCAGCCCAGTCCGCGTTCCGAGCGGCGGCCTACCCAGCACGGCGCCCTTCCCGCCCCACCAGCGTGCCTTGCAGTGGCTCAGCACTGCCAGCACTGCCGACCGGACGGACCGGATCCCACGAGCACGCCATTTCATTTCTGGACACGTCTGGAAAATTTGCAATTCCGCGGCCCCGGCGGTGGCGGCGGCCACACGGGGCGGTCTCGCCCTTCTGGAGGGCCTGGAGGAGCTGGGGGTCGGCCGTCGGTCTGTCTCTCTCGCACTCGCGGGGCGTCCCGTAGGGCCCGTAGGGGTGCGAGGGAGACGGGGCGTGTCCAAGCGGGCAGGTCGGGGCGCGAAAAGCGAAAAGGGGCCGCGACTCGCAGCCGCAATTTCACGGCGAATTGGACGACGAAGAGTGCGCGACGCCCGGCCAGCGCGGCCACGCCAGCGGACAATGGGTAGCCAATCACACGAGAGCAGTCGCGCCTCGCGCCAAGCCTCGCGCCGCCGCACTGTAAAAGGCCACCGCCGGGCCAACGCCAATGTGGCCGAAAAGAATGTCGCTTCGCGCGGCTTTAAGGCCTTATATCAGTATTTTTGACAATGGCTGTCCGGCCGCCACCCCTTCTCCTCCCCTCTCCCCTCCCCCGGCCCAGAGAGTGACTCGACACTCGTCGAGGGACGTCGAGGCGGGCGGCGAGTAGCAGACACGCAGCAAGAGGGTGTTCACCTCCACCTCCCCCGCGCCGCGCCTCCACCGGTAAATACCCCCAGCGCGAATAACGCGCGTACCTCTCACATTGCGGCGCACTCGGAGGAAAAATAAAAGAGGACAAGTAGGAATCGCGCGCGCGCGCGCGTGTGTGTGTGTGTGTCCCGACTCCCTCCTGCCCCAGGTAGCGAATATGGACGGACGTAATGTAGCTGCTGGCTGGTGGAGGTGGAGGGAAAACGAATTTCTCGGACAGTCCAGGGGATCTACGAGCCACGAGCCTCTGCCCTCTCGCTGGCATGCGCCCTTAGACCGTCGCCATCTCTACCCAATTCACATTCTTCCTCTGCGCTGCTAGCGCTCGCGGACGCGCGGAACGGAAACTATTTTCTTTTCTTCGTCTTCCGACTCCACAATGCCGACTTCACTCTAAAAAAAAAAAATTAAGTCCCATCGACTTGAACTCCTAGTTGACTGGATCTTAGTGAAGAAGAACTCGTGAGGTACTCTCGAAATGATTATTATACTTAGAAAGTCAACCTTGAATAATTTGACTTAACTTTGACGGTGTGACCAAATGAAAATTGCACCAATAATTCCAAAGTTCTAAGCTTCATTTTTTTTGTGGGTCAGCTCGGCGACACAACTCACACACCCAGCAGCCCTGGCCGTCTCACAGCGGTCGGAGGAACCCCTGGTAAACAAATACGCGCGAGGGAGAGGGAGGGAGGGGGTGTTGAACCAGAAATCGAATCGGAATCCATTGAGGCCGCAGGCTGAGCCACGGGTTATTTGGCTTTCGCCGCGCTCCGCCCCGCCCCGCTCCGAAGAGGCCCTCGTGGGGCCCTCCTCGGGCCCGCGGGGTGCACTGTAAGCCTGCAGGTGGGCCGCGGGGCACGCCGCGGGGCACGCCGCCAGCGACTACTACACTGCACTGCACGTCCCCACCCCTTCCATTCCCATCCGCATATCGCATCCCGATATTCCTCTTCCCGCTGGTTTCACCAATACCATGCACCGGGAAAAGGAAAGCAAGAAAAACAAAACGGGTAAAAAAACGCGGAGACAGAAGGCGAGCAGAGTCCTGCTGCAGAGTGTGTGTGTGTGTGTGTGTGTGACGGGACGAATCTCGGCGTGCTTCGCCCAGCCGCCGCCATAGCGGGCCGCGTCCGGATAGTGGCTCTGTCTCTGTTGCACCCCTACAGAACGCTCCACGGGTGCGAGAGAGACAGGGGACCTGGCCGCCAGCGCAATCAGACTCGTCGCTATAAAGCGTCAAATTAAACGGTCGTCTGCGGTCGTGATTCATGGATTCATGGGCAGCCAATCCACGTCACCGCCTGCCTGGCGGTGCAGTGACAGCGCGCCAGCCGGTGTCTGCGTGGGGTGCACAGTGGGCCAGAAGACTAGTGGGGGCGGCCAAAACTCTAGACGCGTTCGGAGCTCCAGAGTCACTAAACAGGACTCGAACCGAGCGTGTGACCCCACCAATGGAGTGCTCTCCGAACAAGAGCAACGAGAGCGTGTGAACGGGTCACACGCCCGCTTCGAATTCCATTCAGCGACTCTGGAACGCGTCGAAGAGTTTTGACCACGTCCACCAGTCTTTCTGGACCACTGCGTGGTGACGTGTAAGGTCAGGTAAGAGCATCAGGGAGGTAAAAGTTGCATTTTCACATCCAGAAAAAAAACGCGGTGCGCTGCTCGTGGTACTCACCGGTATCGCGTCCGTTTGCAGTGTAGTTCCTGCAACAAGCAGAAGAAAAACAGAATTCAAAACGGGGAGCAAACGACCAGAGCGACATCAGTGGGGAACGGAACGGCTCCGCTTGCTATGCTCCGCTCACGGCCAGACACACGTCGCTTTAAAAATGCACGACGAATGCAAGACGGCGGCGGCGCGAACGTCTAGAAAACGTCTAGAGAGAAAGAAACACGAGGCTAAGAGGAAAGCGATGGCGAGTGAGGGGATGGGGCTTTGCCGCGCCGTGCCAAGCCGAGCCGGAAAGATATCGCAACTGTGAGGGAAACGCGGCGCGCGCAAGGAGAGCCGAGCGGAACGAGCCGAGCTAAAGGGAGGCCCAGCCGAGCGAGCCGACCGAGACGGCGCGAGAAGTGTGTAAACAAGAGCAGCGCAGCCAATACGAGACAAAAGCGGAGGGAGAGAGAGGGAAACCACTCGGCCCAGACCACCGGGAGGCGCGCAGGGCGCACCGGCCGCCGTAATATAGCGGAGAGCTCCTAAGGACCTCGACCTTCACTTGACGGACGGGGCCCGCTGGGTACACGGCCCGGCCCACGCGGCCTCCCCTTCCTGAAATCATACGAGGACACGAAACGAGAAACAACACGCGGCCGCCAAAGCGCTCCTCCTCCAAACCCCCAAACGTCAAGCAGCACACACTGTGGGGCCTCGTCCTCCTCGTGTTCCGCGCCGTGGCGTGGCCGTGGCCGCTCGCTGCTCGCCGAGTGCCAGACACAAGAGGTAGGGCCGCCTCGGGGGACGAGGACGAAGGGACCAATTTTGAGCGCCAGATCCACTTGCCCGAAGATGGGCCGGCCCGGCCTCGTGCCCGGCGGGCGGCGCGGGCCCCTGAAACACTAGCCACCTCGTCACAGCGCCTTGCCAGAAAGGGACAACGAATACACGGGACAATTGGGCCAAGAGAATGCGAAGGCGGGGGCGGGAGAGAGAGAGAGAGGGGGGGAGGGGGTAAGCGAATAGGGAAACATGATGGGGGGCTCGCCGGCGAAAGAATGAAGGGGGTTAGGGGCGCACTGCGGGCTGAGCCTCGACCGGTGGCCTCGACGCCCCCCCCCTCTTTTTTCCCCCTCCAACAGCTGCAGCGGTGCGAAGCCTGGGCTCGGCAATTAGGGGATTCCTGGGCCGAGAAAACCATTATCAGGCGCGAAATATCTCGCACATTTCGTCGCGCGGGATGGCGTGGCTGGGCGTGGCGGGGGAGGGAAGGGGAGGGGGTGTCTTGGACGAGGGTGTAAAGCTTCTTTCTTAATTTCTTGCCCGGACGGCTGGGCTCAGGGCGGCGCTGCTCGCGGGGCCGGCGGGGACGAGACGCTGCTAGCGGGGCCGGCGGGGACGGGACGAGACGCTGCTAGCCTTCAGCGCGTTCTTGCGGAGAGCGACGTGACGGGGGGGAGGGGGTGGGGAGGAGCGCCTCAAATCATGGCGATCAGACAAGCCGCCGCCAGCCCCGGTCGTTTGGCCGTCTTATTAAAACGCGCGGAATGTGTCAACAAGCGGCGCAAAAGTTTCATTCTTTAGAAATTAGCGCATATATTTTCCCCCCGGGCGAGCCGAGCGGCGAGACGCGGAGCGGCGCGCCCTGCCGCTGCTGTCCGTTGCGCCTCCAGGATTCCCAGCCATGTCGTCTCGTAATCCCGCACGTGCACGGGGGGCCCGCGGGGTGGGGGTAAGAGGGTGCTAAGTGTAGGTGAGGGCCATGAAGGGAGTTTCGCAGTGCCGTGGCGCCGCGGCGAGGCCGGCGAAGCCAGCAGGGCGAAGCGTTGTAAGCGGGTTCAGAGCGAGAGAGACAAGTCCCCGAAGACAAATTAAAAGCGCGCGCGGAGACAATGCTGCTGCCTGTGAGGCGGAAAAGGCGCGGGGGCGGCGCGAGGGCGGTGCGGGGGCGTGGCGGAACGCCTGGGACATATTTCAGGGGGGACACGCCGACGACGAGGACGACGACGAGGACGACGACGAGGACGACGACGAGGAGCACGGCGACGACGAAGCGCGAGGAGGGGACGCGGAGGGCGATACAATGAACGCCTCCAACAAACATGCCACGCCAGGCGGCGCTAGGGGCACGTGCACACGTTCCCAGACGGCCCCGCGGGGGCGTAGCAGTGTAGCGGCGTGGCGCGGAACGCACGGCGGGGGCCGCCGGCCGGGGAATGGCCCGTCCCCGTCGCGCAAGAATCAGTGTGGGTTTCGACGGCGCAAAACGGAGACAAAAAATAAAATAAGTAGGAATGAAATTTGCAGCGCGGTTGGGGGGTGAGTAATAATACCCGCGCCAGGCAGGCAATCAATTTAATTTAATTCCGGCGATCGGGACGATCTTCAGGACCGGCCGGGCACGCCGCAAATGGCATGGCAGTGGCGCGGCGGCGTCGTTTTGCCTCGGCGAGGCCGGGCGAGGCCGGGCGAGGCCGGGCGAGGCTGCAAGGCGCCTGCATCATCGGACAGCCAATTACGAGGCGATACAATCAGGTCCCTTTTTTGGGGGTGGCGCGTAAATAAGGCTCAGCAGGGGTTGACGGGACAGCGCTGGCAAGCGTCTCCGCCGCCGTCGGATGGCTGAGGGAGGGAGAGAGAGAGGAAAAGAATTGAAATCGAAATTAGCCATTACTCTGGCGGAAGCCAATTTCGGCGCCTTCCGGGCACCGTTTCGCCGTTTCCGCGAGACCCTTTTGCACACGACGAGGCGAGGCGGGGTGCGGCGGGGCGGGGCGGGGTGTGCCGGTGGCAGGCGTCCGTCTAGAGCAGTCAAACAAAATTAACAGACTGTCCACCGTCACCGCCCTCCGCGCCTCCCCAGCCAACCCGCACAGCAGTCCTTCCGTCGCGCTGTCCCTCTCGCACTCATGGGCGTCCCGACGGCGTCTCGACGGGGTGCGAGGGAGACAGAGACGAGAACGACTCTTCGGAATCAGCCTGCAGCGGGGACACCGCTCGAGGCACTCAAATAAACGCTGCAGTCTCTCTCAGCGGATACAAGGGCACAAAAGGGAGCCCAATTTGGGGCGGCACACTTTGCGGGCTGCAAAATGCGCCCATCCGTCAGGGTGGCCGGGCCTTGGCTGGGCCTCCTGCCGAGGTTGACGCCCACAAGTCGGCAACAGCCGAGTGATTCCGAAAAAAAAATTCAGTTGCTCTGTCTTTTTCTTCCTCCCACCCTCATAGGGCGCACCATAAAGTGCGACAGAGACAGAGCCACCCACTGTCACTTTTAATCATGCCCTCCTTCCAGGACGAGCGCGTGCGTGCGTGCGGTAGTCGGGCCGCGTAGGGCCGCGTAGGGCGTGGCCCCAGACAGACAGTGGTGCCCCCGATTCCGTCGTGGTGGTATATTTGTTGCTGAAAACATACCCCGCGCTGTTTATTACGCATAACCGTTCCAAATGCCCCCATCTCGCACCCCCCGAAGCTTGGAAATCTATTCACGACGACTCCTCCCCCCCCTTCCCCCCCCCCAACTGCCCGGCGGCCCGAGCCGCGCCAAATATAGTGCGGGCGGAAGCGAAGCACGCCCGGAAATACGACATTTATTTATTTGTGATGGAGAGAGGGCCTCGCCTTGCCCGGCCCTGCCCCGCCCGGTCTGGCCGCTCAATCCCTCGCTGGCTGAGCTCACTTTATTTTACATACACATCTCTCAAATTGGATGGCGCCGGGGCGTCCGTCCGCGGCTGTCGTACGGCCCGGCCAGGCACGGCACGGCACGGTCCGCGCCATTTCCAGGCCGGATGACGTCATCGGAATAGCCAATAACGGAGCGCACACACGGTTCAAAATAGGGATGCCAAAATAGATGGGGACAGAGGGAGGAAAGCGGTGCCGACTTTGCCGGAGGTTTAGGCCTGAGTGCCGGTATTTCTCACGCAAGGAGCCGCATGTCAAAAAGTCTGCCAAAACGGTGTCCACTATGTTTACAGTGTATCCAGAAGGCGTAATAGCGCCTCGGAAGAGGCCACGCGCCACGCCACAACATATTAAGTAAACAAGACGCAAAATAGATTCCCCGTTACTCCCAGCGCAAACGCGCGAGGATTCAATTTCCGAGACTTTTGTTCTGCTTTGCGATGCTAATAACTAATAACTGGCATTTATTTTTCTTTCATTTTTTTCCGTTATTTTTACGCGGACTTGTCGTAAAGGGCGCGCGCGCTCGCGCGGCGAGCTGGAAAGTTGGTCTGGAGTTTGACGAGGGCTCGGCGCGTTGCGCGACGTTGCGCTTGGCGCTTTGGCCGTCACTTGATTGCGGCAGGAGGCCATGTCGCCGTCGACGCCGTCGTCACCGCGCCGAGGCCGTAAAGCGCGCTATCGCAGTCTCACGACGATCGCGGCCAGCCCCAGGCGCGGCCAGAGCGCGGCCAGCCCCAAGCGCGGCAAGCCCCAAGCGCGGCAAGCCCCAGGCGCGGCCAGAGCGCGGCTAGCCCCAAGCGCGGCCAGCCCCAAGCGCGGCCAGCCCCAAGCGCGACCAGTCCTAAGCGCGACCAGCCCCAAGCCTTTTAAGACTGGAGCTAGCTGGGAAGAGCTATGATCCTCGAGGTGTCATCGGAGTGGGCCGAGTGCCACGTGCACAGCACTGCTGCCTCTGCAGCGCGGGATGGCGTAAGACAACAATAATGAAATATTTCTATATCAATATTTATAGATTAGAAATGAAGGTAGGTCAACTGGAGCGGATGCAGGGCAACGGAACCCTGGTGGATGGAAAGAACAACTGGGCTGGAATGTCCGGGAGAAACTGCCAACAAAGGCAAGGACTGCAGGCGCACCGGGGGTGGGGGTGGACCGGCCTCGACCGGCCACCAAGGCGCTGACAGTGACGGCGACTCGAACCTGGCTGGAAACTACCACACTACCAAAACTGTCCAATCTCCCGGCTATTTTTGTCCTCTTTTATATGAGGTCGATGGTCGATGTTGACGACGCAGCGCGCTGGGCTGGCTCGTGGCCGCGGAGCAGGCGGCCTGTTTAGTAGTCCGTTCCGGCTGCC